AAAGCAACTGTACCCAGTGTGAACTGTGTGTAGGAACTGGAAAGCAATCTGATAGAAGGTTCATCATCATCCATCAAGCGGAGGGAAAGCATGTAATTCACAAGAAGTCGAAGATCATCCACAGGGCCATCACAAAGTAGGGAACAAATGGTAGTTTTTGAAATACTAGCATATTATTAATTAAACAGAAGAGCTACTGGAGTGTGTAAAAATACAGAGAATCTTCACAAAGGTATCAAACCCACACACAGACTCCTAAAAATGAGTGCCATTGGTGTCCAGCAATGGGACAGGGTAGGATGGGAATGGAATTGTCTGGTGTTTGAATCCATGGGCAGATTTTTATTAGAAATGGGCTCAAAGGAGCTCTGTACAGTTTTGAAATTTGCATCTTTTGGTAATAAATGTAAGGGGAGAGAGGTCTGTAGAACTGGCTGGAAGATAAGGCTTGTTGTGAGAACCCTCCAGCTTGAAAGCTGGGCTTCAGTCACTCCAGCGTGAAACAAAGTGGTGGTTAGTCCTCCAGGTTGGACTGTTCCTTGCAGTTGGTATAAACATTCTTGTGTGGCGAGGTGTGAGAACTTTTCACCGAGAATTTGTGATATTTTTTCAGTTTTTTTTTGAGACTTCATTTTGAAGTGAGCAGTGTCTTTTCAATCAGCTGCCAGCATGTAGTTTAACCAGAACCTCAGAGTAAAGCAGACAATAACCGAGGCACGGGCACAGGTGCACACACATCCCTCATTTGTGGCTTTGGTTTCCATGCTCACCTGCAGACAATTGACAACTGAAAAAAAATTCCAGAAATCGTCAACTCAGCCCCTTACAGTGCTGCCTTCTGAGTAGCAGGTTGAGATTTCTTATAGTCCTGGTACCTGCCTCTGGGCCGTGTATCTATCCAGTATATGCTACTCATCCGTCTGTCACATAGGAACTACCTCAGTTCTAATGATCTTAATTTCATTCAGTAATGCCCCCAAAGTGCAAAACTCATGATGCTGGAATTTCTATGTTAAAGACAAGTTGTAAAGTACATACTAAGTTAAACTATAGAAGCTTTCCACTATTACTAAGGGGGAAATATTCTGCTGGGTTTTGCTAATTCCCACAGTAAGAATAAACACATCCATGAAACCCAGAGGAAGGACAAAGAAACATTATGCTACTTTTGCTGAGGCTCCTCCTGCTCCCCAAGTTCTAGCCACAGGATGAGGTGTTGTGTTGAGGTGGAAAAGAAACTTAATAAGAGTTTGGAATTCTCAGTGGCTTCAGGAATCCACTGGGCATTCTGAGACATAGTCTCTGTGTTGAAGGCCTACTGTATACCTTTCCCCTTTGTACCACCACCGAGGTTCAAGTCAACCAAGGCACCCTTACTAGTTAGGGCAGTACAGCTGGCCACACACTTCCTCAGGCTGCCCTTGACCTCACTGTTTCGAAGACTGTAGATGAGGGGGTTCAGCATGGGGGTGACGATAGTATAGAACGCTGACACCACCTTATCGTGCTTGGCTGACCTGGAAGATGCAGGCCTCATGTAACTGAAAGTAGCAGCTCCGTAAAAGAGGCCCACTACCACCAAGTGTGAGGAGCAGGTGGCAAAAGCCTTCTTGCGGGCTTCTGTGGACCGCATTCGGAGGACAGCAGCCAAGATGAGACCGTAGGACGTCAGGATGAGGGAGAAGGGGACCAGAAGCATCAACACACAGCAAATGTACATAGCAAACTCAAATGCTGATGTGTTTCCGCAAGCCAAGCGCAGTAACACAGGGGCCTCACAGAAGAAGTGATCTATTTCATTATGCCTGCAAAACTGGAAGCTCAGCGCGGCAGCAGCCTGCATGGCTCCATCAGCTGCTCCCAGGAACCAAGACCCCAAGGTTAGTCTCAGACATAACTGCCAGCTCATGAGAACCGGATAGCGCAGTGGGTGGCATATAGCCACATAGCGGTCATAGGACATAGCTGCTAAGAGGAAGCACTCGCCCCCTCCCATTGTTAGGAAGAAGAAGATCTGGAAGCCACAGCCAGCGGCAGAGATGAACTTCTTGCCAATTAAATAACCAGTTGCCATTTGGGGCACTATGGTGGAGACCAGCATCATGTCCATGAGGGAGAGTTGGCTCAGGAGAAAGTACATGGGTGTGTGGAGCCGGCGGTCCTGGTGAATCAGGAGAAGCAGGAGGGCGTTGCCTACCACAGAGTTGAAGGCCACAGTCAGAACCAGCACGAAGAGGAACAGGTGGGCTCTGGTGTGGTTAAAGAGTCCTAGGAGAATGAAGCCCGCTGTGGTGTTCCCCTTTTCCATGGTTTACAGCCAGAGCGACACTGAAAGAAGAGGCAGAGGGCGTTCTGTCACCTGTGACGCTGTGTGAAGTACGCATGCCCAGAAGGTTGCCTGTGAGAAACCCACTTCAAATCCTTCATCCATGTTTGCAAAATGTTTCATGGTCACAAAGCTAACATAGATTCCCCCCCCCCCCCATTTCCAAGGTTTCCCTGACAAACATCTCACCAGAACAGTGAGTGAACTGGTATAACAAATCCAAGTTCTCTCTAAGTTGCAAGTGACTCGTGACTTTTCGTTACCTGATATCTACATAAATGGTTGAGAACAATTTGTCATTTATATTTTCTTTTACAATATATTTTGCATGATCAAATCTTAGGTGCTTAATTAAATTAAGTAAATATCTGTTAATGCAACTTAGGGATTTGTTAAAGTAGGTGACACATTTATAATATATCAAAAAAAATTTTTTTTTGAGACAAGGTCGCCTGTATCCTAGGCAGGCCTCAAACTTCCTATATAGTAGAGAGTGACCTAGGGACTTCTGGCTCTTCCTCCTGAGTGCTGAGATCTCAGGCACGGGTTACCATGTCTGGTTTATGTTATGCTGGGGACTGGACACAGGGCTTTGTGCATGGCCTGCTAAAACTCTACCTAAACCACATTCTTGGTCCTGTCAAAGGTTCATGAAAACACCCAGTTCACATAATTCCCTCTAACACTGAATAACAAAGGTCTTGCCAAACAAAAGGATATTTGCTCTTAGATCTAGAAACAGAAAAGACAGAATCTGTGAACAAGAGGCTAAACTCACCCTGGGTGGGAGCTCCCTAGGTTCTGTTTACAGAAGCTGACACTTCAAAAAACAATACCCCTCTTGTGTGTTTTTACAGTGTGAAGCTGTAATGCTAAACACACACTTTAATGAACTGTTCCAAAGTTTTGTTTCCATATCAGACAGCCCCTCCCTCTTTACAATCACGAAATCTCACTATTTAGTGAGTAACTCAGAGACCTTATTTTTTGCCCAGCTGCAGAGAAAAAAAAAATGATTCCTGCTTCTGAGACTTTACATTGTTACTTTCATTTTAGTCTTAGAATTGCTGGTGCCCTGGGTGTTTGAGTTTATTGAATCAAAACGTCCACAGCTACAAAGATGTGGATACTAATTCATTCTCAAGGATGTTGTCTAGTTCAAAAGTCTAGAGGCAGTCTGACCTCTGGGGTACTCCCTGTGTCTCTCCTTAGGTCAAATCACTCCTATGGTTGAAATGATTTCATCATGACACAGTCAGTCCCAGGCGGAGTCCCTGAGCATTTCAGTTGTGTGTTTGAAAGTTAAATATTTGGAAATCAATTTTGCATATTGAAAGTTACTTTGAAAGCATCCTCCCTCTGCTCACTGCATGGGTTGTCCACTTTCCAAGCTTTATCATATACTTTTCACTCTAGAAAGGATATCGAACCACGACCACAGCGCTCAGTACATCACATGCTGAAGGTCTAGATTTCCCCCCTCCCCCGCTCTTCTTTTTTTCCCATGGTTCCAACCTCTCATTATTGACGATAGGAGAAATGAATGTTAAGGTTGTGTTGTTTACTCACTGGAGAGCATGTAGCAATTTTCTTTAACTACTTTCTGCATCCACAAAACTGTTTTGTGTACATAGTCACTGTGGTGTCCACAGACACCTTCTCCACAAGGATTTGTCTTCTAAACTCTCTTAATGCCTCCAAATGAGAAGTCAGCCTCACTCAGCAAAACTTCCCATTGTCCCCAAACCACCGAAGCTCCTGACAGGCACCATTCTCTCTTCCTCAGTCGTATGTGACACTGGAAGCTTGGACGGGCTCTGGAATCACTTAGGACCAGTGTCTGTGACTTTACCTGTTGGTGGCCAGTGCAACCACCCTCCCTTTGTTGAGATGTTTGACAGCAAATGTTGGAGTTTGTGTTTTGACAAAGGAATAAGATACCACACAAAACAACAACTATGAATATTTGTCTAGAACATGCAAGAGAGGCCATGTGTTCTCAGAGAGTTGGTTCTACCACGGCTCCACTTCTCTGTTAAAAAAGCCAACACGTTTTCCTGTTTTGTTCTGTTTATACAATGCTTGGGACTGAATACAGGGCTGCACACATGCTTGGCACACCATCGGCCACTGATTTACACGCCCCGTCTTAGAAAATATATATTGTGAAATTTCTACTTACATTTAATTTCAAAATCTGTTCACCTTTTTAGTGCAGACAGGTGACTGTACATGCATTTTAAATATGAAATAAATGATTAAAAGTGGTCATTCATTATGACTCTCATTGTATGGTCAACTTGCTATTATTAAAATTATTACCTATATCTATATACAAATGAGACAGGTTACTACTAGTTGAAGTTTATAAACCTCTACAGAGTAGGCTATTGGGATAAGTTTCTAAAAAATCTGATCATGGAAATGAATCATGGTAGAAATTAGTCCTGAAGCACTAGCTCATTTGGGTAAGGTGTTAAACGCATTACTGAGACCTCCAGTCTGACTAGTGTGGGGAACAGGGAAATGTTTCACCCGTGAACCAATGGCTTCCTTCTACTCTCTGTGCTCTGTGTCCAGGGAGTTAGAGCTCTCCTTCCTGCGTTCCACATTCTCTCTTAGAATGCTGTGAGCACTGTGGTGTCTTTACTTACAACTGCACTCCACTTTTTTGCATTTGGAGTCATGGGCAGAGATAGATGCCTGCCTTTTTTTCTGACAAAGGCCCCTTGAGGAACCACAAACAAGTCAGGGTACATAATTTCCTTTCTACATTTCTCCAAATTAATTGTTAATATGTACATTTTTAAAGTCCAAACTCCTGGATACTGAAATGAAAATCGACCTGCATGTGAAAAATTAGGTAATAACAGAGAAAACTTTATATTGACAAATTTATGGGGTCTTTTAAAAAAGAATTCACCAAATGCCAGCACCCACTTGCACACATTTTAATTCATCAGGTGCCAAGATGTATAAAAGGGGAATCTTCCTTTGTAAAAATGTACGGAGTGGTGGCATTAGATAGTAGCCAAGGGCTCCTTCCCCTGGCCTCCTCCTACCCCCGAGTTCTGGGATTTGGAATTGTATTTTCTAGAGTTAAATTTCACAAACAAATAATCAGCTATGAAGAGGTTGGCCCGACCTACTTACAAGAGTCAAAAGTGTTGCCCTGCAGCCTGGGTCTGTATCCTCAGTGATGCATCTGGATATCCCCACCTAAAGAAAGTCTGTTCTACCCTGTTCCTCCACCTGCCTTGTATCAGTGCCTGGGCTGAAGTGTCATAAGGATGGGCCCACTGCCAGCCTGGGCTGCAGACACTGTCCTATCAATACCCAAGAGCTCCCAGGGTGACAGTTTGGTTGCCAGAAGTGTTTACTGTACTGAGAAACTTTTTAAAATTCCCAGGAGACTGCGAACTTTCTACACATCTCATAATGCTGTGAATCATGGGAGTGACAGAAAATCACTCAAGAGAAAAAAAATGTGGATAAATGTCCTTGGAAGCGGAATGGGATTTCAAGTGTATGAACCATGAAGTCACAGGATTCTGGTGTCATGTGATTCTGGCATTTCCTGCACAAACATCAGCAGACAGGAAGGTTGAAGTGTCTGCCATTGAGACCAGCATAATTGTCAAACAGCCACTGAAATATTACAAAGCCTGTGGAGGGAGTTAGCTGTAGAGTTTGTTTTGTTTTATTTTTTGTGAGTTTTTTTTTCATGGGCTCAATTTGAGACAATTAAGGTTGGATGGTCATATGCATGTGTTTGTGTGGATCTGCAAGAAATTGCTTTGTTTTGGTTTTGTATTTGCATGTTTGTGTCTTCAGAGGATGGTGATGGTGATGATGATGAAGAAGATGATGGTGAGGATGGTGATGATGATGGTGATGAAGATGATGATGGTGATGAAGATGATGATGACAGCAGTGACAGCATCTCCAGTCTGTATTTGCAAGTTGAATGTATCATGAATGCATTTCACGATGTTTGCCCATCTGCTTTGAGTGCTTCTGTTCCTGGGAATCCTGGGCACTTGGATCCATGCCTTGCAATTTCTTAGTTATCTACTGCCATATAGAAACCCCAAATTCTACAACTGGAGACAGATAACTGGAAACAAAACAAAACAAAAATTTTAATAATGGATCATGTGTGAGGGAAATGAACCTGATTAAAAAATGTAAAATAATTTGGTAAACTGCAATCCACATTTAATTTTATTTAAAGGAAAGTATACATTTTAACATTATTATTTATTTACTTATTTATATTTAACTGAGTGTTATGTAGCTCAGGGTTCCCTCAAACTAGCTTAGTAGCACAGGTTAGACTTGAACTCCTGATCCTTCTACCTCCAGCTCCCAATTGTTGGGACTGTAGGCACTTACATACAGTGGATTTATATCCTTAAAGCCCACTAAGAGAGAGTAGCAAGACCACCCATCCTGAAGATGGACTGTATCTTTCAAAAGGAACAGCCAAGAGGCCAGGGCACCCATCTTGAACACAGGAGGGATACATACTCTGCTGCTGTGCTCCTCACTCAGAGGGCTCTCCTGGGATCCCTGGAGAATACACAGGCAGGGATGAACATCTAGGAAGTTGACTGGAAGACCTCTTAGGATCACCGCCTAATGCAGAGTTAGGCAGAACTGAGCAAAGGGTGGAGAATGAAGAGTGATACCCCAGGCTAAAGCCTCCAAGCTCCTGAGAGTTTGTGGCCACGCTCTTCCTCCTCAGGGTCACTGTGTGGACGCTGGCTGTGGTTCGCTCCCAGGGAAGGACTGTGACCCTGATTTTAGCAGGTTTTCCCAAGAAAAAAATATCTGAGAGAGATTCAACTAAGCACTGCGAGATTCCAACATGCTGGGCAGCTCTGGAGCAGGACTTCAAATACTAAAGTTGGGGTGTGGGGGTAGGGGTGATATTCAGCACCCACTACAGAAACCCAGATACTGCTCACAAGCCCTTCCATAGGACACGGAGGTATGTGATTTATTGGTGCACGCAGAAGACAGTTAACAAATGTCAGTAGTCCACCAAAATAGAGGGGTTCCTGGGAGCATCATCACTAGAGAAAGATTGGAATGTGTTTGGTGTTCACACACTAAGTGCATGGTCTTACACATGGCAAGCTCTGAATTCAGTATTCATATGTTAAAGGTGCAGGAGAGAAAGGTTTTCCACTTTGGAGACAGGAAGGGAATATAAAAATGGTTAGGTCTATCTTTAGACAGAGTAGCCCCGGGTCAGTTCACACTCTGCTGCTAATAGTTCTCATGAGATCCAAGGATGTGGCTTGCCCAGTGTGCCTTTGTTTTGTTGAATGAAGTCCTTTGGTAGGAAACTGGTACACAGCAAAATAATGTACGAATTGTGTAGCCTCCTTTGTGGACCCACCCTCAAGGACATTTGTCTGTCTGTCTGTCTGTCATATGGCAAGCACTGAGGCTGAAAATTGACTTAGAGCAAGCAACAAGGTGATGGACTGTGATGTTTGCCTCTGGAAGGGGCCTGGGCTTCCTGCTTTCCTTCCTATCCTTAGACTCTGTTGTGTCCATGAATCCACTTGTTCTTGGTGTCGTCCTCCATTCTGTAAGGTCATAGGAGAATACCATGTCCAGTGTACCAAATAAGGAAAGGCATTGGTCAGTGTTCTGTAATTGGGAAGTCAAACTCAAGGGTCCTAGACCTGTCGGGCCCGCTTCTCTATCATATGACAGAAGGAGGAAGGACGAGAAATGGCAAGAGGGGGCTGGCAACAAAAATTCTTGGAATGGCCTGAGCTTTCGAGACTGTTGACTGGTGCTTCAGTGATTTGGGAGGGATTGGAATATTGCAAGTCCAGGACCAAATTACTTTCAGCAGTCGTTAGTCTTCACCTGAATGTGACCCGATCCATTAGTGACTGCCAAGCAGATCCTTTGGGATATTCAGAGCACTAGCTTCTAACAGCCAAAGGGCCAAGAATCCTGTGAGAAAGCACTCAAGTCTGTACCTGAGACTGGTCGGCCTCTGTAGAGCCGGCCTACTTGCTGCTTCCCCCAAATGTGTTGGAAGACTGTCTTGATCTCTGTATTTTCCTTATTCTATTATAAAAAACCTCCTGAGGCTGGCACCATGTTGGAACATGGAATTTGGGATAATATAAATCTGAAAAGGCCATGGTCACTCATATTCTAGAATAAATTATCTGTTATTCTATCTGAGGTGAGTTGGTTTTGGATGGTTGCTTTTTTTTTTAAATTTGGGTTTTTTGTTTGTTTTATATGGAAAAAGAGTCAGTCTCACTATTATTTCATTTTATTTTTTGAGGCAAGATCTTAGTTAATCCAGGCTGCAATTCTCCTGCATCAGCTTCTCAAGTGCTGAGATCACAGGTGTTTGTCATCATGTTGAGCTAACTCATATTTTTATAATGGCATGAATGCCTGCCCCACCCTCCATAAGAGTGGAGCACTTAGCCTAATCATGTCTTAAAGATATCATCTTTAAACATTCTTAAATGGAAATTTGGAAATGTTATTAGGCATGAGTTATTTTTAGGCAGTGGTATTTGTTTTGTTATTTAAAGTGATAAAATATAGCTATTTTAAGTAATAATTTCTGCTCATCTCTGAAAGATTTTTCTAAATTCTAAATTGTCTTAGATTATTCCTTTTGAAACATTTTTGACATATGGTTCATGCAATTATATTTTATGTTTAACAAGTCTTATTGATTATCCACTTCATTTATAGGGTATTTCATAATAACAATAAATTCAGCCCTATGTTTATAAAACTATTATCCATTTATTCCTCTTACTCTTGACATTGTCCATCCTACAACAAAAACTGAGTTACATGATTAAAATCTAAAAAACCAGGCCTGTGACACTGGCTCTCATCTCTAAGACCCTATTTAAAAAGTAGCATAATGGTTAAACTCGGGGAGACTAGTAGGCCAGATTGATTTTCCAAAGGCTTTGTAACAATTAGAATAGAAAATGAGAAAGGAGCCTCGAAGAAGTTAATACAACACAAAGAATGTTCCATGGAAGAGAGAACCTGAGTCTGTCAGTGAGGCGGGTCTAACTTGAGTGGAGCTGGTTTTGTGGAACTTCTCTCTGCTCGTTTATCACACTGTCTTCTGCAGCCACTTCCTCAAGGCCCCCTTGACTTCCTTGTTTCTCACACTGTATATGAGAGGGTTCAGGACCGGCGTGAAGATGGTGTAGAAGGCAGACACCACTTTGTCGCTCTTGCCTGGCTGGTGGGACTTGGGTCTTATGTAGATGAAGATGATGGCCCCGTAGAACAACCCCACCACAGCCAGGTGCGAGGAGCATGTGGTGAAGGCTTTCTTCCGAGCAGCAGAGGATCTCATGCGGAGCACCGCGGCCAAGATGAGTGAGTAGGAAGCCAGGACGAGGGACAGTGGGATTACGAGCATCAGGATGCAGCAGATATACATGAAGAACTCAAAGACTTTGGTGTCAGCACAGGCGAGGCGCACCAGAGAAGGCGCCTCACAGAAGAAGTGATTGATTGTCCGAGAGTGGCAGAAGGGGAAACTCAGGATGGTGCCTGCCTGCATCAGCCCATCGGAAGCTCCCAGGAGCCAGGACCCCACTGTCAGGTATGCACACAGCTTGGGGCTCATAAGGACATGGTAGCGCAGGGGATAACATATGGCTATGTAGCGGTCATAGGACATGGCTGCCAGGAGGAAGCACTCGCCCCCTGCCAAGGTGAGCAATAGGAAGATCTGGGAGCCACAGCCTGCAGGGGAGATGGATCCCGTGCTCATCAAATAGTTGGCTGCCATCTTGGGGACGATGGTGGAGACTAGCATCATGTCCATGAGGGAGAGCTGGCTGAGAAGGAAGTACATGGGCGTGTGGAGGATGGGGTCCCTGTAGATGAGAAGGATCATGAGGGTGTTGCCCATCAGGGAGGTGGTGAAGATTACTAACACAACAGAAAGCAGGAACAAGTGGGTCTTTGTGTGGCTGAAGAGCCCGAGAAGAATGAAGTCCACCTCTGTGCTGTTACTGAGAGTCTTCATAGGTCTGACCAAACCTGAAAGACAGAAGGATGCTTGCCTTTTTCTTTTTTCTTTCCTTTCCTTTTCTTTTCTTCTCTTTTCTCTCCTCTCCTCTCCTTTCCTCTCCTCTCCTCTTCTCTTCTTTCCTTTTCCCTCCCTTCCTTCCTTCCTTCCTTCCTTCCTTCCTTCCTTCCTTCCTTCCTTCCTTCC